CTGTTGGACCTATTTTAAATCGCCTGATTGATTGTGGACGCAAATTCGTATCAAGAAAAGATTAAATTAAATTAAATCGTATCGATAGAATCCCGATTCCTGATGTCTTATTCTCCATCTGTAGTCCAGATGCTGCCGTGTCACAACTATTATTAATAACTTTTAATGCAATAATATGTGCTATTATTTGTTATTTTATTTTGTAACAGCAAATTACCAATATTTAGATATCTATTTTGTAATCTTTTATATTTAACATAAAATGATAAACATCATTACTGTTTTGTGATAATATATAATAAATATGTTTTGAATTTAATTGAAAAAATATTTCAGTTTACCTCGGTTATTTCAGACAACATGGGTTCAGTCTTCTTATTTTCTATCACGCAACGCATTCTTGATGTTAAGACGATACGAATTGTCTTCAGCTTCTAGTTGCAAAATATGTGAAACGAATTTATTAGGGCATATTTTCAATTCTCTATATAATTTCTATGATTAATTGTGTTTACCACGCTTCAAACTGGGCTTTTTCCCTTCATATACCCTTTGATTCCTTTATGATTAACTCTTCTCAATTTAGTTTAATTTTTTTAGCCTTGGATTAGTTCAGTTAGAATTGTTTTTTTGAACATACGCGCGATGCCTTACATTATGTATACATATAGTGGCAAGTGTATCCTGTCTCTATAGTTTTTCCTCGTTTTACCGACTATTTTAAACAGATAGAACGTCTTCCAATCACCAAAATTAATTGATTTTTTAGTCCTATTCAGATACAAGTTGTAGCAGACGTTCATGAGCCACATACACAAGAGCAGTCACAAAAACATGCTACAATGCGAAAAGTATTAAGTTTTGCTGAACAAAAACGATTTCGTGCTAAAAAAGGAGCATTAAGTAGTAGATCAACTCAAAGTAGCTTTCATCAACCACGAACTAGTGCTGAACGTCAAAGACTATACAAAGCAAACAAGAAATTACGACAAAAAAATACAGAAACTCAAGAAGAAGATTTTACACAAACCCAAGAAGAGCAATATGTACAACATCGCGTTAAAGAATGTTAACTGTAGCAAATAAAAAAGATATTTTACATTCAAAAGGAAATTAAATGAAATTGTACCTATTCCTGGTCCATTTATAAATAATTAGACTAACAAGAATATTAAAATTATTGCCATCATGCGTTAAACAAGTTCAATATTTTATGGTTTCTATAAATATGTGAAGTTATCACTTCTGTCGAGCGTCCCGTGAAGCACACCATTTTTTGCTAAAATGCCTGTAATTCTCATCTTCACAGACCTCTTTTATTTCAATTGTTGAACTTTAAAATAGATTTAGATTAAGATTGATTGAACGTCACAAACTTCTCGTCCCAAAGTCAAACGGATAAATCACTAGCAGGTAGAAGTTCTTAGGATTGGGATCAAGACAACAAAACTCACTCATAGATCGTATCTCTCTTTAATTTACTCGCAACTTGAAACTGCTAAAGAGCAACGGATACGCTATTTTGATTGGTGTTACGCTCCAAAGCAACAGTTTCAGCTCTAGCTTGCGTTCTAAACAGTTTTAAAGTTGATGGAGCTTTTATTGGGAGCGGAGGTGCCTTTCTGACTCCCGAGAAGCTGCTAACGTGCGAGTCGTAAATTGACGCGAGTGTATGGAAACCGAAATGAAAATCCCAAGCAAACGCAGCTTATTACTTACGATTTTAGGTAAGTAAGTTAATTATTTTCATTTAAGCAGAATTTAGGAATTTTAAAGCATGTTATTTACTCCTCTATCAATGAGAGTAGCAACTTAATTATGTGGATTGGGTGTATCTAATTTATCCAAAATACTTAAATATGTACTATACCGGTTGCTTTGAAAGTTTGATTTTGAGACTGAAAACTTTCGGCTAGGATGCAAATTAAGTTGAAGAATGTTTACTTGCGAAAGCCACAAATATACACTCTACAGGGTAATCCTCGTAGTATAATTATAGAAGTTTAGTAAGTATAGTAAAGAACGTTTTTGGCGATAATTTCACATAGTAATAAAAGATGGCATTTTCCTGTGAGCCCATCTAATTAAAACAGTTTGTTTTAATTAGCCGGTGTTAAATTAACTGTAACTTGAGAATGCAGGATGTAGAAACAAAACCGAAACCAGACGTTTTATGCTCATTTGCCACTCTGGACAAGCACCCACTAATGGAACCCGCATAGCAAAATGATATTCCCAGAATATACCTGGAACATTCATGTGATGTACATGCATATTCCTCATAATACATGAGTTACATTATGAACATTCCATGCATGTCCCAGAAATCTGTCAGAGTTAATACACTGTATGTTCATGGCATTTAAATGGATAATAAATAAATTAAAATATTACTTATAACTGCGGACTAAAAATCTAAATTAACATTTTCAGCATTTTTTCCGTTGTCGCAATGATGTGTGACTGTGAGATAAAACACAAACCTTTATCTAAAAAACTGCACTTATTATTTTATATTCCTTACATGTTCCCGCTC